CCTTCCAAGTAGCCGGAATTACAGGTGTGCGCTACCACGCCCGGCTGATTTTTTTGATTTATTGTAAAGATGAGGTCTTGCTGCCTAGGCGTGTCTCGAACCCATGGGCTCAGGCAATCCACTCACCTCAGCCTCCCAAAGGCACAGGATTACAGGCTGAGCCACCGAGCCCGGCTTCCAAAAACATTTTTTAAAAAGCTGAGTGTGGCGGCACACACCTGTAGTTCCAACCTCTCGGGAGGCTGAGGTGGGAGGATCGCCTGAGCCCAGGAGGTCGAGGCTGCAGTGAGCTGTGTTCATGCCACTGCACTCCATCCTGGGCAACAACGTAAGACCCCATTCAAGATCATAATCATAGTAATAATAACGACATGACCATCCTGATTTTGCAGGTTTGTCGTGAGGGTCATGTAGGCCTTACTGTCAGTGGGGCGAAGGGCTCATGAACCTGTCTGACCACCCACAGGTTTTTGGGTGTGTTCTCCACTGTCTCCTTTCACCTGGTCTCACCCCAGAGGGAGTCACTGACGCCTGGGCTAGAGGGCGGCGGTGGTGGGGTCGGGGCGGGTGTCTGTCCTGCCCACGTCCCAGAGGGCGCTCTGGGGAGCGGCGTGGGCTCAGCCCACCACGGTCCTTCCTTCTTGGGGCTGGACCCCACCTGTTGACGTGTTTTTGTCACTGATTTTCAGTTGTGTCCGCCGGTGGTCAGTTTTACCGTAATTTCTTTCCGGAAGCCCTTCTGGCCTTGGGATGCGGCCTCGAGCCCCCCAGACAAGGAAGGGTGCTGGGCTGAGGTGGGTGGGGGAACTGTCTTCTGTCCTCTGGTTTCTACTTCCCCAGGGGACGCTTTGCAGGGCCGCGTGTGGGTCTCCCTCGTTCCTTCCAGTGTCCGTGTGGGGTCCCCTCGCTTGGGTGTCTGGTTTATTCAGAGCCACCCCGCCTGTGCACACTGTCCCGCTAGGTGACTTTTTGTCCCTCCCCGCTTCCTCACACCCTTCTGAGTCTCCAGGCCATCATCCCCCTCTCTAAGGTGGCTTTGCAGCCCCTTCGTGTAGTTCCCGCTTCCCAGTGAGAACATGCGGCGTTTGGCTTTCTGTTCCTGCATGGTTCCCTTGGGATGGGGGTCTCCCATTCCATCCAAGTTGCTGCAAAAGATGTTATTTCATTCTTTTGACGGCTGAAAAGTATTCCGTAGTGTATGTATAGCACATTTTCAGTATCTGCTAATCGGTCGATGAACATTTAGGTTGATTCTACATCTTTGCAGTTGTGAATTGTGCTGTGACGGACGTGTGGGTGTCTTTTTTTTTTTTTTTTGAGTTGGAGTCTCACTCTGTCGCCCAGACTGGAGTGCAGTGGCCGCTCCCGGCCACCGCAGCCTCGACCTGCTGGGCTCCGGCGATCCTTCCGCTTCAGCCTTCCGAATAGCCTGAATTATAGGCACACGCTACCATGCCGGCTGATTTTTTGATTTATTGTGGAGATGAGGTCTCGAACCCACGGGCTCAGGCAATCCACTCACCTCAGCCTCCCGAAGGCGCAGGATTACAGGTGGAGCCACCGAGCCAGGCTGGGTGTCTTTTTAATATAACAACCCCACTGTCCCTGGCCGTGCCTGTCCCTCTGCACTCTGGGGAAGGCGTCTGCGGACGGGACTGGCCCTCTGCCCCAGAGGGGCCCTCAGAGTGTGGATGTGCTTGGGATGGGGCCAGGATCTGCCCCTAGCCCCTCTCCTGGGGGCTCGCACCGGCTGTCTCCTCCCCAGAGGGGGGTCATGGCACCTAACAGTGGAAGGGACTTGAGGGGGCCCAGTCTTGTGCCCTCTGGCTCCCATCGCCTCCCCCTCCCCACCAAGCCGGTGCCCGGCTACCTTGGTGGTTGCTCCTCTGCACCAAGGGCTTCTGGGAGAGGAACCGCAGTGCTGTGGCTTACCACGTCCTCAAGTGTTTGGGTGGGCTGCCCTGCCCCTGTTCCTGGGGTGTTGAGGACAGAATCTGTGCCCCAGAAGGGGGAGATTGGATCACCACCTTCCATCAGGGGTGTGCGAGCGCCTTCTTTGTTTTTTTTGAGTTGGAGTCTCACTCCGTTGCCTAGGCTGGAGTGCCGTGGCACGCTCACGGCTACCCCAGCCTCGATCTGCTGGGCTCTGGCGATCCTTCTGCCTCAGCCTTCCAAGTAGCTGGAACTACAGGTGCTCGCTACCACGCCCGGTTAATTTGTTTTTTATTTATTGTAAAGACGAGGTCTCACCACGTTGCCTGGGCTGGTCTCGAACCTGCGGGCTCAGGCAGTCCACTTGCCTTGGCCTTCCAAAGTGCTGGGGCTACAGGCTGAGCCACCAAGCCCGGCTTCTTTTTTTTTTTTTTGAGTTGTGGTCTCACTCTGTCACTCAGGCTGGAGTGCAGTGACATGATCACGGCTCACTGCACCCTCAACCTGCTGGGCTCTGGTGATCCTGCCTGAGCCTCCTGAGTTGCTGGGACTACAGGCGTGTACCACCCTGCCTGGCTAATTTTTTGGTTTTTTGTAGAGATGAGGTCTCGCTGTGTTGTCCAGGTTGGTCTCAAACTCCTGCGTTCAAGTGATCCTCCTGCCTCAGCCTCCCAAAGTGCCGGGATTACAGACATGGGGCACGTGCTGCTCCGCCTTGCTGGTCTTGCTGGGCTCGCTGTGTTTCCCTGGGGACTGGAGCTGGAGCCAGACTCACCCTGGGCCATTGCGGCCTGTGGTGACCGCCAGCAGTCAGCATGTGTTGGTGCCAGGCATAGCACTCAGAGCTGTAACCACATCATCTGGGATTCCCCTGGCTGCACCAAGAGGTCTCCTCTGTTGCAGTGGAGGGCTGGTGCCGTCCAGAGCCCAGGGCGCCCCTCTGTCCACCTGATTCGGGCTCACGGCTTGTTCTGGGCTGGCCCCATGCTCACGGCTGGAGCTGGCCTCTGCTCAGCCGTGGGCTTGGAATCGCAGGTGGGTGGGTGGTGACATGGGTGGCGGAGGACCCAGTCCCGGCCAGGCCTTGAGGGCCAGCGGCAGCTAAGCAGGTCTCCCTGTGGAGCCGTGACCATCTGTCCTCATGCTTGGAGGAAGCTGACCTGGCCCTTGGCTTGCAGCCTGGGATCCCCCCGGGCCACGCTTCCCCTCGTCAGTGTCACCCTGTTTCCGAGCTCCCTCTGCCTTTCAGTTCTGGAAACCCCCCCAGGGCCTCATAGCTGAGAGCTGGCCTCTGGGCCCTGGGAGGCGACAGGACCTTCCCTCGGGGCGGTCCCAGCGGGGCGGAGTGTGGCGCCCGTTGTCTGTCTGGTACCTGCCAAGTGGTCTTTGCATTTGACTCTCTCGGCCTCGTGGGGGACAGAGGGACTGGGTCTCGCACCTGGCAGGTGGCAGGAGCCAGGGGGCTGGCCCTGGCATCTGCTCTGCAGCCTGAGCTGCCCGGGGTTCCAGAGGAAGGGGGTTCCGCGGAGTTCCTGGAGGCCTCGGGAGGACACGGCCTGCCAGGCTGGTCTCAATCTCCAGGGCTCAAGCCATCCTCCCACCTTGGCCTCCCAAAGGCTGTCCAGGCTGCGAGTCACAGGCCCTGCCACTTGGGCCCTCGTGAGTCAGATGGAGCCCTACGGGGTTTTGTTTTCCTTTCATAGCTTCAGGGGGTACGGACAGTTTCTGGTTGCATGGTTGCCTGGCTGGCGAAGTCTGTGCTTTAAATGTACCCACCCACCCCCGTGCTGGTGTATCCAATAGGGCAGGGAAAGAGGTGTTCGGGGTGACCCCGGGTTTACAGCGGACCCATTGGCCTTCTGTCCCAGGGTAAAGATGCAGGTGCTCCTGGCACGGCTGCCCTTCCCTCCGGGCTCCAGACCTGGGGCTGTGGGCGCCAGGTTGGTGCAATGGAGGTGGTCGCCAGGGGCGGGGCCCTCCCCTGGGTGGCACTCGGCGCCAGGAACCCCTGGTGCTGAGATGCGAGTGTACGCGTGTGAGCGGTGGCGGATGCAGCATGATGCCTCCCCTCCGGGTGGGGCGGCGGTGGCGGGCGGCCGGGAGCGTTAGCAGCCAGCTCAGGTGCTAGGTGACCATGGGGTGGCGGACAGCTGGCGGACTCCTCAGGTCTGAGGCTTCGCCCCCAGATGCCTACAGGCGGCCGGCCTCTTCTGTGGCCGGTCTGAGCTGCAGCCGGTGCCTGTGGGGTGTCCCCCAGTCCCGATCGGTCTCAGGGTGTGTCTGTGAGGACGTGGAAAGACCTCAAGGGTGGCTGAATTCACAGGGGAAGCTGCATCCCCGGTCGCTCAGGGAGAGGTCTGTCCCCCCAGGCGCGCACAGTGCTGTCCCTGGCCAGGTGCTCTTTGTGTTCTTTAGGCCACGGTGTGCCCGTGGGTGCTCTTGGTTGTCTGGGCTCTCCTGGGGATGCACAGGGCTGTAGTGGCCTCTTCCTCCGACCACCCTCTGTGCTGTGTGCCGTCGATAGCCCAGGCCGCTGAGGTCGGTGGGGTCTGAGTCTCGGCTCTCAACCTCCTGATTGGCTAAGGCCAAGCCGGGTCACAGCCTGCCGCCATCACAAACCCCAGCTTGTCCTCCTGGTTACCGTGGAACCTCGCCCACGGGCTCTGGCTCCCTGCGGCTCGTGGGGGGGTCTCCAAGCCTTGGGGGTCCCTGCTGGTCCTGCCTGTCGTGGCTCTCTTGGGTCCACGTGGTGGCTCCCGGCACAGGGATCTCTCTTCGAAACAGTACCACGGCCAGGCGTCGTGGACCGTCCACAGTGAGTGGCCAGGGCCAGGCTGGCCGGTCACCCCACAATCCCATCTCCTTCTCGGAACAAGGAACACAGGCCTGAGTTGCCTCTCACCACCCGTGTCCCTCCCGCTCCTGGTCACCAAGGCCAGGTGGCGCTTGGCTCAGTAGGTTTTCCGACAGCTGCACTTCTGGGTGAGCAGGAGGCAGGGGGAGCTCGCCAGGGCTGGGGAAGCTGGTGGGGCCCCAGAGGTGACCAGTCCGCCTCTCGTTGTCTGTCCTCCCTGCAGGTGTTGCCCGGGTGGACCCCGCAATGGGATGTCACGCCCCCTCGGGGAGCACAGCAGGAGCCAGGGCCTCTCCCAGCCGCTGCTGTGACGGGAAGTGAGCCCTGCCGGACGATGTCCACCACGACCACCGTCGCCCCCGCGGGCATCCCGGCGGCCCCGGGCCCCGTGAACCCGCCCCCCCCGGAGGTCTGCAACGCCGGCAAGCCCGGCCGCAAGACCAACCAGCTGCAATACATGCAGAATGTGGTGGTGAAGACGCTCTGGAAACACCAGTTCGCCTGGCCCTTCTACCAGCCCGTGGACGCAATCAAGCTGAACCTGCCGGTGAGACCCCACGGCCGCCGCGCCTGCCCTTTCCATCCACCGCTGTCCCTGGGAAGGGGACGCCCCAGCCTCGGCAGGCCCCGCTAAGCTGGGGATAGCCTGAAGCTCAGGGAGCCCATAGGGCGGACGAGCACAGGGGCTGCTGGGGGGCATGGACGGGTGGAGAGTGACTGTTCCCCAGGTGCAGGAAGCCCCTGGCGTGGGAGCCGGAGGCAGACGGGGATGGAGGCTCAGGAGCGGAGGCCCACCCGCTCTGTAGTCTGTCCAGCGCGGCCTCCCCCGTGACCCATCCGCCAGCCTGCCGCGCCGACTTGAAGTCAGATTGAGGGTACATCAGTCCCGCTCTCGGGCGCTAGCTCCCCCCCCAGTCTCCATCTGGATCCGAATACAGAAACCCTGAATGTTGCAGGGGAAGCCCTGGCCAGCGCGTGGTAGCCTGGACTCGGGGCCCAGCTCAGCCCCTGGTCACCTGCAGGTGTCCGGTCCCTGGAGGGTTCCCTGGAGGGGTCTCGGCCCCGTCTCCAGCAGGCAGAGCAACCCCAGAGTCTGCAGTTCTCTCCTCCACACAGGCTCGGGCGCAGGAGAGAGGCTGGGCAGGGGCTCGGAGCTGGCCGAGTGCTCGCCCCAGACTGGAGCACACCTGCCCTCAGGTGACCAGAGACTCCAGCCCCCGTCCTTGTCCCCAGCTCCTTTGGGAGGACTGCACTGTGTCTGATTGCCACGCTTGGGAATTGCGGAAGGGATTATGTCGGATCCGTTGGTAACGCCTCTGAAAATCTCTTTCCTAGGATTATCATAAAATAATTAAAAACCCAATGGATATGGGGACTATTAAGAAGAGACTAGAAAATAATTATTATTGGAGTGCAAGTGAATGTATGCAGGACTTCAACACCATGTTTACAAATTGTTATATTTATAACAAGGTAAGAAGACATATGTGCGTGGGCCCAAAATGCCGCTGCAAAAGGACCCCAGTGCTGGGCCGTGTAGATCCTTGAGCAGTCTTGGCTGGGGGCAGCTTGCTGGTTCCAGGTGGGCCCGGGTGCTTTGCAGCAGCTCTGGGACAAGCCCAGAGCGCGTCACACCCTCGTGCTCAGCCTTCTGTGGTTGTGGTCCACGATTCCCATGTGTTACCCGGGTCTCCTGCTAGAGAGGGTGGAGTCTGCAACAGCCTTTTCAGAGGGAGCCAATCAATGCCATGTGCTTTAAAACCCAGGCTGGGCACAGTGCTCATGCCTGCCATCCCAGCACTTTGGGAGGCTGAGATGAGAGGATTGCTTGAGCTCAGGAGTTGGGAGACTGCATGTCTACAAAAAAATAAAAACCTCAGCCGAGCATGGTGGTGCATACCTGTGGTGCCAGCTGTGCAGGAGGCTGAGGCAGAAGGATTGCCTGAGCCCAGAATGTTGAGGCTGTGGTGAGCTAGAATCATGCCATGCTCCCCAACCTGGGTGGCAGAGTGAGACCCTGACTCAAGAAAACAGAACAAATCCAAAGCTTAAAGCTTACCTGGGAGGTAAGCATTCTGCCCTTGGATGTTTTTTGGGTTTTTTTTTAGTTGAAGTCTCACTCTGTCACCCAGACTGGAGTGCAGTGGCCGCTCCCGGCC